TTTTTTCTTTCTTTTTGGGTCCCCCTCCCTCGGTGGGGGGGGCCCCCGACTGTGAAGAAAAATATATATTTTTTTTTTTTTTTATTATCACAGTGGCCATCACCCACCAAGGCAGGGTGGCCCGAAAAAGAAAAACTTTCACCATCATTCATCCATTACTGTCTTGCCAGAAGGGTGCTTACACTACAGTTTTAAACTGCAACATTAACACCCCCTTCAGAGTGCAGGCACTGTACTTCCCATCTCCAGGACTCAAGTCCGGCCTGCCGGTTTCCCTGAACCCCTTCATAAATGTTACTTTGCTCACACTCCAACAGCAAGTCAAGTATTAAAAACCATTTGTCTCCATTCACTCCTATCAAACATGCTCCGCATGCCTGCTGGAAGTCCAAGCCCCTTGCACCCCAAACCTCCTTACCCCTCCCTCCAACCTTTCCTAGGCCGACCCCAACCCGCCTTCCTTCCACTACAGACTGATACACTCTTGAAGTCACTCTGTTTCGCTCCATTCTCTCTACATGTCCAAACCACCTCAACAACCCCTTTCGGACAAACAGTTTTGGTAATCCGCACCTCCTCTAACTTCCAAACTAACGAATTCTCTGCATTATATTCACACCACACATTGCCCTCAGACATGACATCTCCACTGCCTCCAGCCTTCTCCTCGCTGCAACATTCATCACCCACGCTTCACACCCATATAAGAGCGTTGGTAAAACTATACTCTCATACATTCCCCTCTTTGCCTCCAAGGACAAAGTTCTTTGTCTCCACAAACTCCTAAGTGCACCACTCACCCTTTTCCCCTCATCAATTCTATGATTCACCTCATCTTTCATAGACCCATCCGCTGACACGTCCACTCCCAAATATCTGAATACATATATTTAACATAAATTTAACATTATTCCCTGATTTAATTTTTTTAATCTTTCAAAAAAAAGGAAAGCAATAAACATCTGCATTATAACTACTTTTAATTTAAATTTTCCTATTTATAACTTGTGTAAAAATCTTATTACAATAACTAATAAAATTTATTATGGATCCTGTAAGAAACTCTTGTTAAGTGTAGAAGATAAATACAGTGGACCCCCGGTTAATGATATTTTTTCACTCCATAAGTATGTTCAGGTGCCAGTACTGACCGAATTTATTCCCATAAGGAATACTGTGAAGTAGATTAGTCTATTTCAGACCCCCAAACATACACGTACAAACGCACTTACATAAATACACTTACATAATTGGTCGCATTCGGAGGTAATCGTTATGCAGGGGTCCACTGTAGATGGAAAAAGAAAATTAATATTAGATAACTGTCATGTAATGTAAATTGAGGAAAGTGATAACACCCCAAGAGAAGTATAAAAATCATGAATTTAAAAACAAGAGAGATCAGAGAAAAAGAATTGGATCTAGAAATATGTATAGAAGGTTACTGAAGGATAAGATAAGATAAGATATAAGGTAGTGAGACATTCCTATGTTAACTTCAAAATAGTCTTTAGATATCAGTGGCAAAATACTAAAAAAACCTAACACAAAAGATAATACACCAAAATTCTATTATGCAGCATTTAGTTGAGATTTTTTACTAATAACTGCTTAAAAAATATGAAAAAAATCTAAATACAGCCTCTCCTCGCTTAGTGACGTACTCATTTACCAACGACTCGGATTTACGATGGGCTCTTTGACCAGTAGGCATACCTAAATAATGTATATTAGAGCTGATTTCCTCTATTCTGTTATTACAATATACAGTACACTACCCTATAAACATTTAAAAATACAGTGGACCCCCGGTTAACGATATTTTTTCACTCCGTAAGTATGTTCAGGTGCCAGTACTGACCGAATTTATTCCCATAAGGAATATTGTGAAGTAGATTAGTCCATTTCAGACCCCCAAACATACACGTACAAACGCACTTACATAAATACACTTACATAATTGGTCGCATTCGGAGGTAATCGTTATGCGGGGGTCCACTGTATACCCAAAATGTTACAAATGGTACAAAGATGACATTAAAACAGTATCAAAGATGGCTGACACAAACTCACTACCACTATAATATGCTCCTCATTTAGCAAGAAATTCGTTTAACAATGTGGTCTTAAGAACAGAACTCCGTCATTAAGTGAGGAGAGGCTGTATTAAAAAAATATTCATGATATTATCACACAAGACCTGGTCTGGTACTGGCTTACTAGACGGGTAACCTCCAAAATCGTCTACAGGTAATTTATCAAAATGTTTATAATGTTGGGTTACAGGTTAGGATTAGTTTGCTTGAAATGCTTTGCATACTAGCGGCTTTCTTTTTTGCCTACCAATGTTATAATATATGTAAACTACTGTAGGGCTCCCTTCTTATACAGCAGGTTAGGTTCCGGGCTACTGAAATATAGCCTTTTTTTGCTTTTCCCACCCTGCCTTGGTGGGAATCGGCCAGTGTGATAATAATAATAATAAAAATAAAAGCCTGATACCATGTTTACACTATCAATATATTGAGCAATAGAGGTAGGCCTAAAAAATGCATATACAGTGGACCCCCGCATAACGATTACCTCCAAATGCGTCCAATTATGTAAGTGTATTTATGCAAGTGCGTTTGTACGTGTATGTTTGGGGGTCTGAAATGGACTAATCTACTTCACAATATTCCTTATGGGAAAAAATTCGGTCAGTACTGGCACCTGAACATACTACTGGAATGAAAAAAGTTTGTTAACCAGGGGTCCACTGTATAGCATCTTTTTACTTTCAAATGTATATAAAAGCCTGATACCATGTTTACACTATCAATATATTGAGCAATAGAGGTAGGCCTAAAAAATGCATATACAGTACACACATTACTTACCTTAAAAAATTTTTGTCCTTATAGTTTAGGAAGTTTGAATAAATGAAGAATGGCATATTTGAAAACCACTTCATTAGTGAAACGTCGTGAAGCGGGGCTCTCCAGTACATTATTTTTGTACCACAGAAAGAAATAAAAATTTGAATTTAAATCTGAAGGTTGTGACTGCCCTGGGCAGGTTGGGGGGCTGAGCATTTATAGTGGAATCTTAGGGTTGATTTTCCTCGCTAAAAACTGCAGCTTTCTCTTGAAGACAGCCAGCGATCAGCTGGTAATCTCCCTTATGAATGAGAAAGGGTACCGAAGTCTTCATTTATGCATAAGCTAAAATTTTCAACAAGGCCCCAGAGTTCTTCAAGAGGAGTTAAGTTCCTGAAATCAGTTGTTAATCATCAGTAGGCTTGTGAGCATCTAGCACCAACAGTTGGTCGTTTAGGCCACTAACCCGAAAGCCTGGTCTGGGGACAGGCTGCAAGTGTTTACAGGTATCCTTGGGTATTTCTGAAAAATAAACTGCTATTATATTTTGAAAATATTTGAGCAATTTTAACTACCACAACCACCACAGCTTCGCTTACTAACAGTCACCCGCCGAAAAATCATGTAGAAACCATTGTGAACTTTTTCATTACGTCACACCAAAAAATCTTAACTAATTTTACCATCCATAACTTGTTAGCAGTTGATCTTATGCCAGCCAGTAAATTTTCCAGCTGCTTGAAGGCCTAAGCTATGACATCACTGCTCTTGCTCTGAAACAAACAATGAGCAAAATCACTAATGGAAATCATTTAGGTGTATACAGATTTAAAAAAAAATAATGAACCCGCAGTCTCCCACCGAGGCAAGGTTACTGAAAAAGACAGAAATATTTCATAAAGTTCTTCCTTTTGCATTCAGCAATCTATACAGAAGGGGTTACTAGCCCCATGTTCCCGGCATTTTAGTCGCCTCTTACAACACACATGGCTTATGGAGGAAGGATTCGTTTCCATTTCCCCATGGAGAAGAAACAATACCGGCATTCAAAGTAATACCACCATTAAAAAAAGATACAGCAAACTTATCATATGAAGCAGGGATTTACATTTCTAAAACTTGTGAATCGTAAATACATAAATGTTTTTCTAGCACCTTTGGTCCCAAAGCCTTGCCAGAATATCAGTTTTGCCAGACTAATAGAGGTCACATAATGATTCTAACAATACCCATAAATTATACAACTCCCTCTACCCAGTGCATTCATACAGTGTGTATGATCATTTTATGATATATAGAGAAATCACATTTGTTTGATAGACACTTGTCAAAAACCAAAGACATAATATTTATGTTTCAGTTAAAGTTGAATTACAGGTTGACCATCACTAATCAGGACCTGTAGGGTGCTGCCAGCTTAGTGATTTTTGCCAGATTACAGAGTGGTTAGGTTAGAATACACTTAACCCAATAGCAATATTTATGCATTGGCAATTTTTGCCCATTTTATGCCCTACTTTTAGCCCATTTCATTGTTCCAGTCAACCAAACTCATAGCTATTTCACTAGTACAGCAGGGCCCCACTTATACGGCAGGTTAGGTTCCAGGCTACCGTCATAAAGCGGAAAGCGATGCAAAGTGGAACGCCCTTTTCTTCCACTTATAAATGCATTAAAATACTAGATAACAAGTTTACACTAGCATATATTAACCCCTTAACTGTCCAACTGTAGATCTACGTTGTTACCGCTAGCGCTCCAAATGTAGATCAATGTTTTATTTTTCCTGCCTCCAAATTTGGCATGATTGGCCTCAGATGCCTGGTCAGCATAGAATGGGTCTTAACACTCAGTATGTGAAGTATCAAAAAAATCTGGGACCATTTAGTACCTTGTGGGAGCACCAGTTCAGTTGAACACCAGCTAGAGCAAACAGCGCGGCAATCAGGGATTCACTGATGTCATGTCACATTAACACTCCCCTTTTAAGAGGAAAGTGATGTTGACCCCAAGTTTAGTGGCCATAGACGTGGCCACAAGTGGTCGAGGAAGAATCAAAAACCTCGATAACCCATGTGCAACATCCTTTCAATTTTAAGGATTAAGGGTTTTATTTCTTTGCATAATTTACAATGTGTAATTACAATTTTGATTTGCTAAGTACAAAGAAAGCAGTTTAAAAACTGTAGTGTAAAGCACCCTTCTGGCAAGACAGTGATGGAGTGAATGATGGTGAAAGTTTTTCTTTTTCGGGCCACCCTGCCTTGGTGGGAATCGGCCAGTGTGATAATAAAAAAATAAAAAAGAAAGCCACTATCATGCCGGGTCATTTTGGGCAGACTAAACCCAATACATAACAGACTACTTAATACTAGGCACATACAGGGATTACCTTACGATTACCTCCGAATGCGACCAATTATGTAAGTGTATTTATGTAAGTGCGTTTGTACGTGTATGTTTGGGGGTCTGAAATGGACTAATCTACTTCACAATATTTCTTATGGGAACAAATTCGGTCAGTACTGGCACCTGAACATACTTCTGGAGTGAAAAAATATCGTTAACCGGGGGTCCACTGTATATCATAGTTGGTGCAAATTGAACATAGTTTTTTATATTTCAGCTGAGGTAGTTAGTGGTTTAGCAGTAACTGAATTAATAAGTACCTGTAATAGAATAACAAGTTACAGTATTATATTTTGGCACATTTTACATAGTGAGAGTGAGACCATTTTAGTTTTGAAATAAACTTATAATATTTGGAATTTTTGTGTTGATGGTGTCAATAATATATAGTGTTGGTGTGGTTAATTTTGGGAGATGAGGTACTTTCTAAGTAAAGCTTTGGATTGGTGTGCAGGCAGGGGCCCTTTTGTAAACCATACCCCCGGCCGGGATTGAACCCGCGGTCATAGAGTCGTCATTACGATTTCTTGAGCCCTTTTGTATGGTCAGGCAATGAATTCCAGATCTTAGGGCCCTTTATATGCACAGCATTTTTACATAGAGATGGACACAAGGGATATCAAAGAGTGTTTTGTATCTTGTGTTATGCATGTGCATTCTGTTGTAGCTCGCAAGAAGGAGTTTGAGAGGAGGGTTAATACTGGAGAATAATGTTCTGTGTATGTAGTAGGCACAGTAATATGAGTGGGTATTTTGTACATTAAGCAGGTTCAAGCTCTTAAATAGTGGTGGGGTGTGTTGCCTGGCATAGGAGTTTGTAATCAGTCTCACAGCAGTTTTTTGTTGGATTATTAAAGGTTAAGGTGATTTACTGTGGTTGAGCCCCATGCACAAATACCACAGGTGAGGTGATGGGTAGTTAAGAGAGTGGTAAAGAGCAAGAAGTTCCGTTTGGGGTACATAGTACCGTATCTTAGAGAGGATGCCTACTGTTTTGGAGATTTTCTTGGAAATATGCTGTATGTGGGTCTGAAATTTAAGACAGCTGTCAATGTGGAGCCCTAGAAAAATTTTTCCCTTTACTGTGTCTTTAAATGGGGGAAACCCTTTTTTCGATAATTTTTGCTGAATATTTGAAGCTCTGTTTACAAAGAGTATGAAGTAGGTTTTGTTGATATTGAGAGTAAGTTTGTTGTAAACATCCAAGTGGATATTTTTTGTAGCTCAAACATTTAGTGTTTTCTTTAACATTTGGGTTTTGGGTTTGGGGGAGAGAAGATATTGTTGTAATTTATCGCCCAAAAAGAACAGGGTTTTAAAATAGTTCAGAAGCATTGGGGGGGTCACTGATGTAAATTGGGGGAAAGTTAGTTTGGGCCAAGGACACTAACCCCCGGGGAATTCCCAAAAACAAAAGGTTTTTGTGGTGGAGGCAACACTAATTGTGTATACATATTTGGGATCTATTCTAAATATTATTTTTAGGGGAATCGAGGATTTTCCCCCGACCCGTAATTTCTCAAGTTTTTTGGTGGGGAAGAGATTTGTGGTCAACTGTATCAAAAAGCTTTCCATAGGCTATGAAGAGCCCATGGAATTTCCTTTTTTTTTCCCCCACAGTATACAGAAATTCTAGCATATGAAAAATTGAAACATTTGTCTTTTTTTTGGCCTAACCCAAAATGGAAAAAGGGTTTTAAATATGTTTGGATATAAAGAAAGGGGTAAAAAACTTGTAGGGTTCCCCTCCTTTTTTGGAATTGGGGGAAAACCCCTTTCTGTCCCTTTAGTAGGGAAAGGGGAAAAAAGAAGGGGTTCAATGGAATTTTTTAAAAATTTTTGGGAATAATGGGTGACAGCAAAAGAAAATTTTTAAAAACACAAGTGGTGGTTTAAACTTTTATGGGGCTACCCCCCTTTTTTTTTTTAGGGGTTTTTATGATGATTTAGATTTCAGTAGGGTTTTTTTTTGGGGCCCAGGAAAAGAGTATTGGGTATGGAAACCCGTGGGGGTAAAGGTTTTTTTTTTGTGTGTTTGAGTTTGGGAAATTTTTCTTCTAGGGGTTTTTTTTCCTACAGCAAAAAAAAAAAGGAAGCACTGAATGAAACGTTTTTTAAGGTGGGAAAAAAAAGAACGGGGGGATTAAAAGGGATTTAAATTATGTTAACTAAGAGAAAAAAGAGGCAAAAGGAAAGTACTAAAAACCCTTTCCTTTTGTCCAGGACCCACAAAATTAATATTGCTCTCATGTCCCCAAAAAAAAAACCCCTGAAATGGCCGGGAATCCTTTTTTGAAGGAAAATAACACCAAAAAATAAAAAATTTGATGAAAAACTCTGGAAAATTTGCAGGTTAAATTAGCGGTCTCGGTGTAATTTATACATCAACTTATTTTTAGACAATTCCATTAATCAAATTTACCAAAATTTTTTGCCATTTTATTAGTATGTCTTCCGTTGTATCCCTGGAACAAAGAAACCAACCCCCCAAATTTTTAAAACCCTCCGTAAAATGAAAAAGAAAATGAAATTGAAAATTTTTATTTCCTTACAATTTAACCCTATCTATTAATCATAAAAAGAGTCACAGCATGCCCAGGTATTTTTGGGGAGACTAAACCCCCTTCTTATTACTTTTCTATTTTTCACAAGTTAGGAGCAATACAAATTTTAAAATTCATTATTACTAATTTTAAAAAATTTTGATAAATTTAAAAAGGTTTTTCATTAATAAGATTTTTTTAAAAGGAGGAAGTGCGTTATTTGGGAATTTTCCACAAAATTAAAAAATTTTTTTAAATTTTAAAAACAGACCAAAAAAACCCAACAATGTAGACATTCCCGACACTAAGGAAAAATTTTTTTTCTTTATTAATCAAACCCCCAGGCACCTTCCCCATATCCCCCGGGAAACCCCCTATAACCCCCGGGGAACCCCCTATATCCCCAGGCCCCCTTAAAATCCCAAAACACCCCCAATATCCCCCCAGGCCCCTCCTATATCCCCAGGGACCTCCTAAAAACCCCAGGCACCCCCATATCCCCAGGCACCCCTATATCCCCAGGGACCTCCTATATTTCCCCCCGGCCCCCTCCTATTCCCCAGGCCCCCCTATTTCCCCAGGCACCTCCAATATCCCCCCACCTTTCCCATATTCCCCCGTTTCCTCCTATATCCCCCGGCACCCCCCATATCCCCAGGCACCCCCTATAACCCCAAAGGGACCTCCTATTCCCCCGGCACCCCCTAATCCCAGGCACCTCCTAAAAATCCCCAGGGACCTCCTATATCCCCACACCCCCCAAAATCCCCAGGCACCTCCAAAATCCCCAGGGGCCCCCCCTATAAAAACCCCCGGCACCT